TTGGGTGAAGATCATCTATTGGAAATCTTGGATAATTTTTGGTACTTCCTCCCTGGTCCGCATGGGATATACCCATGTATATCTAGAATAATCATCGATAATGGTAATAAAATATTTGTAGCCACTCTTAGATGGTAAAGTAACAGGGCCCCACACATCAGAATGAACAATGTGGAAAGGAAATTCAGATTTATTATTCTTTGAAGTAAAATGATTTCTACACTGCCTACTCAATTGACAAATTTGACAAGAACAATCTGAAACTGACACTAACTTAAACAACTCTGGAAACACCACTTTTAAAGACTCAAAAGATAAATGACCAAGACGACAATGCCATAAATATACCTGACTCTTACAGGACTGACTCTTAGACTCTGTGACTTGAAGACCAGCCTTATTCTCTAGCATGTAAAGTCCATCCACCATACATCCTCTACCAATTGTCTTCCCCGAGGCCAGATCCTGTATCACACAATAAGAAGGGAAAAAGGTTACTGAGCAGTTTAAAGAATTAGTAATACTACTAACAGAGAACAAATTAATGGGAAATTTCGGGACATGTAAGACATCAGAGAGGGTAAGGCCAAAAGGAAGAGAAATGGTTCATTGACCATCTATGGTAGTGTATGATCCATCAGCTAGTCTCACCTTGTCTCTTCCAGAAAGGAGGTGATAGATTTAAAAGTAAGAGGACGTACCAGTCATGTGTTTAGACACTCTAGAATCAATGATCCTGAGAGTGTCAGGGGTATGAGATGCAACATGTAAAGCTGTGGCAGAGTTACCTGATGTAGATGCAAATGAAGTCGAGGGAGGAGCGTCCATCTGACGAATTGCTCTACCATAGAGCTCTAAATGGTCATGGAAGGAACTAATAATATCCTCCCTTGGGTCAGATCTAGAGACGTGAGTCGGTGTCACAGTAGTAATTGAAGGGATGATAGATCCATCATATGGATGGTCGAACCCTGCAGGAAGGTTGGTCGAAATTTCAAAAATTTATCTCTCCCATGTGGGAATCGCATTCCCTATTTTAGAAAACTGCATTTTCAATGATCAATCTTGAAACCAAACCAAACCAGACCAAATCTGAAACCAAAAGGGAGGAGAGGGATGTACCTGATACGGAGTAACAGTACCTCCCAACGAAGGTGTTTACGCCCAAGGAGAAAACCAAAATCTACTCCCACTGAAGATGACACAGTGTGAGGTAAAGCAGAATCAACAGGACGACTCTTCAGCAAGAATGTAGTAAAGGGCTAGTAAGCACAACTTCAGATTGCCTCTTCTAGCAAGAAGCAATATCAAGAACGATTCTTGATCACTCCCACAAGTGGAAATCGAACTGGGTAGGGGTGGCAAGAACAGGAAGAAAAGGGCAGAAGACAAGAGTAGTAAAATTGTGTTGTCTTCTCTCTTGATTTAGCAGACTATGAGTCGTTTTGGAGGTCCGCCCTGCTCTCCTATTTATAGCCTTAAAGAGAGGTTCTCCTAATCCTATTAAGAGTTCCTAATCCAAATCTTATATTTGGATCTGGACTCTCTTTAAGAGATAAGGATAATCCCTTATCTTATCTGCAGATAAAGATCAGCCTTCCTAATCAAATTAGGAGTTTACTGATCCAAATCTTTATTTGGATCTGGACTCTTTGAGTGGATAGGGATAATCCCTTATCGTATCAGCTGATCCAAATCCCAGAACCGCCCCTTATTTAATTAATCTTATTAAGCCAGTTCGAATGGGCTTTAGGCCCATTAAGTCTATATGCTCACTTAACCTCTTAACCTGCTGCCCAGTTAGCTATCCTTGTATGGCGTGGGACCCAAACATTGATCTACACATCAACCACATGGGTTCAGCCCAACCTTTTTTACAAGGCCTGGCCGAATTCATTGTAAAAGATAGTGAACCCCTGAGTCCATCACCATGGGCTCTTAATGGGCCCAACATTTACACTAAATGGTCCTTGGGTCCAGCCACCTTATGAAAACCCAAGGACTATGGGCAAATGCAAGATTAGCCCATCAGGTATTACCCTCAATGGTCTTACACTTAACCTCTCAGCCCATAATGATCAAACACTGCCCAACAAG